TTGAGCCCTCTACAAAATTGTGAAATTCATGGCCCTGGGTCAGGGGTTCTGGAGTAAGTGTGGGGCTTTAATGATCATAAAGTAAAGACGCATGAATTCTTTACAAACTTCTTTCCTCCACCTGTATAAAAAGCAGAAGAAATAGGTGCATTTTTCTGAAGATCAAGGGTGCCTTTTCCAAAATTATGAAATTTGTGGCCCCAAGCTAAGGGGTTCTGTGTAGGGGGTGCTCTACTGTTTATATAGATTAAGTGTTCGAAAACCTTTGAAGATGTGTTTTAACCAAATTGAAATAACCCCTGAGTCAAGCGTTCTGATGATAGCCCGGAGTTCTATGAATTAGACAGTAAAAATGAATCAAATCTTTGAAATTCTTCTTCTCTGCTCCTAGGTATTTAGCAGGTAAACTTATTGTCATTAAGATTGCTTCTTCCAAAATTGTGGAATTTGTGGTCCCAGGGCGAGGGGTTCTGTGGGAGCTCTAATTTTATTATTTGGTGAACATACATTATTTCTATTAAAATTTTCATAATAGTCACTGGGTATTAAGCAAATAAACAAAATGCATAATAATGTTGATCAAGAGTGCCTCTTCCAGAATTGTGAAAAATGTGGCCCCGGGGTCAAGGGTCTGCAAGAAGGACGGGGGTCTATATTTCAAAAATATGTGAAATTGCATTTATTTATTTATTTATTTATTTATTTTTATTATTATTCATTTTTTTTTTTTTTTTTTTTTTTGTAATTCCTATTCTGCACCTAGATATATATTAAGCAGTTAAACTAAGTGCATGTTTATGATGACCAAGAGTGTTCCTGGAGATTTTGCAAAAAAACTAAATGTATGGTTAAGATGAGCAAGTGTGTCACCTCCGAAATTGTGAATATTATGACCTCTGGGTGAGGGGTTTTGCTCTTAAGGCGGGGCTCTATTTTTATATCGAAAATCCATTATTTCCTTAAAATCTTTCCACCTCAGGGGTATATAGGAGATACATTAAGTGCTGGTTATGATGTTCAAGAGTATTCTCTTCTAAAAATTCGAAATTTATAGTCCCAGGGTAATGGGCTCGAGGGGAGGGGGGCTCTATTGATTATAAAGTGCAAGTTAATTATTTCTTACTTTTTCTCATTCTTTGCATAACGCCTCTTCGAAAATGTTTCATTCATATTGAGAAGCCATCACTTGCCGGTGGAGGGCTACAAATTTAGACCAGTATTTTGCAATTACGACCTTTGAGCAGGGAGGGATATTTTCGTCTCAGAATCTATTGCAAGACGGGAAATCGTTTTATACGGTCTCATACGAAGGACATATTCACCTTATACAGTGGATTCTGATTCGTGACGTAAGGATCAACTCCTTACACCGCGACTGTAGAGCAATTTTTTAACCTCTGCAATACATTATTTCTTTGCAAATTTTCTTCTCTGCTACCCGGCATTCAACAAACAAACCAAGTGCAAATTTATGATAAGCAAGGACACCTCTTCCTAAATTGTGAATTTCACAGTTCCTGGGTCAGGTGTCTGGTGTTAGGGCGTGGTTATATAGTGAAATTGCATTTTTGTCTTTGAATTTTTTTTCTCTGCTCCTGGGTATTTAGCAGATTATTAAGCTGAATACATGGCTACGATGAACAGGATACCTCTTCCAAAACTTAAATTTGTGGCCCCTGGGCCATGGGTTCAGGTTTAATGCAGGGTTCTGATGAGTAAGGATGTTGGATTTTTCTTCGAAAATTGTGAAAATTGTGTGGTCCAAGGGGCAGGGGTCCATGTGGGTCGGGATGGGGGGTGGGGGTGGGGGTCTGTTAAGTACATGTATATAGTGAAATGCATATTTTTGGAAGTTTTTTCTGCCTGTTGGTATTTAACAGACAAACTGATTGCATGTTTACGAATAGAAAAACGTGCCTAATCAAACAGGTAGAAATTCATAACCTTTGGGTTAGGGGTTTTGATATCAGGGTGGTATTCTTTTGAATATATAGTAAAATACACTATTTCTTTGAAGATATTCTTCTCTGGCCATGGGTATTTAGCAAACATACTAAGTGCATTGTTATGATAAACAAGGATCGCTTTTCCAAAATTGTCAATTTCTTGGCCCCTGTATCAGTCGCCTTGGTGTTATGGTTGAACTATGTTAAATCCATAGTGAAAATGCATAATTTCTTTGAAAATCTTCTTATCAGCTCTTTGGCATCTATGAGGCAGACATGGTATATAAAGTTGTGATAAGCAAGATTTTTTTAAGGATTTTTGAAATACAGCTCCACTTGGTCAATTAATTTATTTGTATTCTTCTGAAAGAAGTTATTCCACTTCGCTATTTACGTTTGATATTTAACTACTGTAAATTATGTAAAGTTTTTTTTATTAATTAATACAAAATTTCTTTTAAAATTTTTAAATGATCAGGTAGATATTTATGTTCTAAATAAATAAAAATAGGACAAAAATATCCTTCCTTTGTATATTATATGTTCTTCAAATAGTAGGAGAGGCAACCGTGAGATAAAATGAGATGGGTTGACTAATTATGCTCAGGAATTATTGTTTTGTTCAATCTGTATAGAGTTGTGAAAAATGGGGGCAAGTACAGGCAAGTAAAAAGATCTAATTTAAGATTTGTTTCTGAGCACTAAATTATTTTGCTCATCGCTGATCATCCTATTCCTCTTGCTTTTGGGCAACTATAGCTTCATTATGAGCTTATTCTGTTTTATATTTAAGCTATGGATCCTTAACAGAATTACATTATATTCAGGTGACCGTTAAGGTCCTTGGGTCTCTTGTTTTTAAATTTGATTGTTGTAATTTTATTGTGTATAACTGTAGAATTTAAATTGAAAGTCGAACATAAAAAATCTATGCGAGTTTGTGGGCTGCGTAGAATGTAATTCTAGAAAGCTTAAGACTTTCAACGTTTTCTTTTTCTATCCATTTGTACAAGTACTGATTCTTAAGTAGTATTCAATTTTTTTTATTGAAATGTTTGAACAGTATTATCAGATGATACAAACAGAGACGACAAACAGATACTGAGTGTGGTAGATTTTGGAGGACAGTGTGCATATTACGCATGTCATCAGGTGTATCTCAGCAGAAGAGCTTTCTACCTCCTAGTAATAGATATGTCCAAACCCTTTACAGAGAAGGTTGACGAAAGTCGGTGTGAACAGCAGGGCACAATATTTGCAGATTGGACTTATGGAGGTAATGTAACAAAAGTTTGATAAATGCTGAAAGTCTTTGTATGTTACTGTCCCAAAGATCATAAACTGTTTTTTGTTTGTTTGTTTGTTGTTTAACGTCCATCTAGACAATTTTTCACTCATATGGAGACCCACCACTTACCAGTGGAGAGCTACGAATTTTGAAGTATACTCGGCTTTCAGGGCCATTATACATGAAAGATCTTTTTCTTGCCAGCACCTACTGCGACATAGGACCTCGGTTTATACGATCTCATCAGAAGGACCGGTCTCCACTTCCCACAGCGGGATTCGAACCCGCGACATAGGGATCAACTACTTACTCCGCGACTCTAGAGCAAGCACTCTTACCACTGCGCCACGCTGGCGACATAAATTAAGAATAGACTTACGTCAAAATTTTGATTTTGAATATCTTAATTTTTATTTTACCTATATTCTTAAAAATTTGCGAGTTTTAAAAATATTTTAATAGAAACAAAAGAAATTGTTTTATTTTCTATACTTATAAATTTATAAATTTTGCAAATAAACTCCGAAAAGGGTGCACCAGAGTTCCTACTTACTCCTCTAATAATACACTAGATACAATATGATGTCCGTAAACTATATTTAGATTTCACTCGCATAGTAAGTATCGTACATTAAATTAAAAGTCTACTTTCATTTTCTATAAACAGCCATGAATTAGCAAAAATGTACGTACGTTGCCGTTTACAGTTGGCGGATCTAAGTTACTTGCAATTTTTAATGAGACTGACAACAAGCAATCGTTTATTTATTTCATAAAACGTCATCACTGAATTATTCAATTAAAACAAACTTGATTTAAATGATATAAAAGAAATAAGTTGTGATATCCGATTAAAAGGGGAAATGTGCAAATTATTTTCATCATTCACCAATCTTAATATTGAAGGAAGCTTCTAGAACTTCTAGAACATCATACAGTATCGAACCCGATGTTAAAAAAGAAAACAAGCGATTATAGCTGTGAGAACATAAAAAAACATTTGAGTGAATGGTCATTGAAATAATGGTAAATCATTGATAACACAATAAGTTGTGAATATATTTATATATCGAAAGACTATAACATATATATGAAGTAGGTGAATTTTTACTCCCCCCCCCCTCCAATCAATTTATCAGTAATATTCGCTGCTTTTATCCGTGACGGAAATGAAATAAGAGCATCTGAGTTTAATATCCACAACATAGTATAACAATTAAAACGTCAATTAATGAAATTATTATTTTTTCAAGTTTTTACAAAAAAGGGGTAAAAAAAAAGGATAGCGGATGGAGACGTAAATTTACTTCATGGAGGATTTTGAACAAAGTAATTTTTTTCTGCTATAAGCCTGTAGGCTGTTAGGAGAAACTACAATATATTCTCTGTCGGTAGTGGTATAAATTTAATTCCCCGCGCTTGCGAGGGATTTCCTCTAGTAAAATTTATCACAAAAGATACACTAAATTTAATATTTGACTTAAAGCTATTTCCAGTATATGTTTTTTTCTTTGGACTAAATTTATTGCCTTAAGCTAAGATTATCAGGGTGAGCAAGAAAAAAACAATGTATGTATTACCTTCTTTTCTAAACACATTTCAGTAAAATAAATACTATGAATCGTGCTAATGTTTTCAGATTATGCTCTAATTAGGTGGAAATTTCTCTTTATCTATTTCAGAATATGTTGTATTCTGGCTGAAGTCTATTCACACTTATTGTGCCGAAGATACTTCGATAATTGTTGTATCTACACATAGTGAAAATGTCTCAAAAGAGGTAAACAGGGGCGAAAGAAGTACTTAATAATAATTTGTAAGTTTTTGTTTCAAAATCCTACATGCTTTTTTCACTAAATTCCTTTCTTAGGATAAAACAACATTTTACGGGCAGCTTTTGGATTTACTTCCCTCTGATTCAAATCTAAAGACGCATTTACATCATTCAAGGTGCTTTTTTGTAAGTTTACCAGGCGATAAATGTGGGACATTGGATACCTTAACAGAATTAGAGAAGTGTATTGTTTCCATTGCCAAAGAGAAAAGATGGAAGGAAATCATTCCAAAAGAGTGGTCTTTAATTGAACTTGCATTAGTTACGTTCAAAGAAAGTTCAGAAACGGATGATATGACCGAACGTAAAAGAATAATGTCAGTGGAGGAGCTCGAAAGAGAATACTGGAAGACTGAGAAAGGAAATACTAATAAAATTCAAGATGCTCTTCGCTTTCTCTCCGATACTGGAGTAATTCTTTTCTTCAATGAAAAGGACTTATCTGACACCATAGTTGTTGATGTTCAATGGTTTGTTGATACATTTAAATTCATAATATCAGACAAGAACCATGTCAGAGACTTAGCAAAAACTGACAATGACTGGCAGTATTTCCACAGGACTGGGTATCTTATGGGCAACTTTCTTCATCGAATTTGGGAAAGCTTATCTATACGCTCTTGGGATAGTCCGACCATTTTGCAATACATGCAAAGACTAGGATTGCTGGCGATAGGGGAAGAAAAACACTACGTCCCTTGTATGAACAAGAAAGACTTTGGTAGAAAAGAACAGGACACCTTACGGGAAATGGAAACTAAATCTTCTGTGTTGGTGCTGCATTTCGACTTTTTACCGTTCTTTTTCTACTGTCGATTGATAGTTGCCTGCATTGTGGGAACAGAATGGAAGGTGTTGGAAGATGATGGCATTCCATGCTTATATAAAAACATAGCAATTTTTGTATACAAAGACCACCTAATTGCCTTGGTTGTGACGCAAACTGCAATTCAAGTCCAGATCTTGAGACCACAAAACTTGCCTATTGATGCTGATATCGCAGTGCATATTAAAGAGACTCTGGAAAATAGACTTGGATACTTAACAAGTACTTTTCACAAAAAGGTTGCATATAAGGTTGCATTTCAGTGTTCAGACCAAGAAGTGTTTTGCGATAATGTAGGGTGCTACGTATATGAAGAAGAAATATGTAAGAAAGGTCAAATATTATGTCCAAGACATGGATTTACAGGAAAGCATATGATAAACGAAGACGCTTTGACAAAATTCTGGAAAACGGTGAGTGATTTACGTTAATGTAAAATCATCATATAAGATATCTATTACAGAGTGTCCAGAAGCAAATTTTAAAAATTAGATATTTCTGAGATATTTCATGCGATGTTTTTGCATATATTCTTTTTTAAATTGAAAAAAAAAATAAATTCATTACAATTTTCATTTGTCCTTTACTGTTTTAATGTTTGTCCTGATTGGAAGTTCATTGCAATTCTTAGAGCTCACCATCTGTTTCCTGTACTAAGTCTGGGAAAGGTAAGCAACTCATTTAATTAAATTCGCGTAAATGAACACACATACTACTTATCAAATATTCATATACATGTAATATGTACAATAATTTAATTTAAAATTTTAATATTGATTTGGTTTGTCGCAGTTCCATTGACAAACGAGGAGAAGCTTCAAAAGCTTATAACACTGGGGAGAGATGCAATGCAGGTGTATTTTGATACAATGTTTCCATCAGAGGGTTTACAAAAATGTCTCAAAGGTAACAAGGAATCCCTTTGTAATGGCCCTTTAGATTCACAGCAACTGAAGTTAACATTGTTTATCCAGGTATTTTTTGACTGATATATAGTTTTTTCTATAAGTATAACTAAACCAAATGATATTTGAAAGATTTGATTTAAGAAACAAAATTAATACTCATCTTCCTGTTACATCACAGCTTCCGTGGCAGTTGTAGAGTCCTCTTTGTTTGATGTCCCCATCATGTACAAATTATTGAGAAATTTCGGAAACAGCGTTCCTCCGCCAACTAATAAATGGGGAAAGGAGCCGGTGGTTGGACAGAAAACTCCTGGTGACGACATTGAGAGAATCCACAAGTACAGGAACAGGCTCTGTCATAATCAATTTAATACACAAAACATGGATGACGATGATTTTGTTTTCTACTGGGAAGAACTGACACAGGTGAGAGCACAGCCTCTATCTATTTATTTTATAGTTTTCTTTCTTTTTTTTAAAGGTACCTTGCCTTGATCTACCCTTCACACAGGATTTTTATTTATTACATTCTATTATAAGACTTTATTTTCATCTATGTTCAAATCTATAATTTACTGATTTTTTTCTAAAATGCTGATTTACTTTTAACAGCAATTATTCCATTTGGGAATAGCACAATATCTTCGATATAAAAAATCGGAGATATTGCTTGAATACTTCCAATTGATCTCATGAAGAGACAATTGCAAACGGAAGGAGTAAATCATAGTAATAAAACACGAAACTTTATTTTCCAGGCAATATTGAGACTCACAAAAGGATCTTTTAAAAGCAGAATTAACACCATTTGTCAGTAGATTACAAAGGTAAGCCTTTTCTCTCATTAATAAAAAAAAAACCTCCCTTATCTAAGATGCCAGTTCAAGTCGGAGATACGCTTTTTGCTAATTTTCTTCAAGTCTTGCATTTTTTTATGAACATAGTTTATGGTGTTAAGAATCAGTGCTTTGTCACAGCAATCTACAAAGTATTAAAATGATTTGATATCTTGAGTTTATTAAGAATCAACTAGACAGAAGAAAAAAAGAAGAAAATAAAGAGAGGTGATGAACATGACTTACCTCAGAGGAAATCAAAAGACTGTAAAAAATCCCTTTTAAATTCTTTTGAATTAGTCTTGCATTCAATTTTTATTTTATAATTATGATAAATGTTAACGATCTCTTTAATGTGATCATCAGGAATGAAAATGAATAACTGCCTGTTCTTGTTTAAAGATCGATGATTAAAATAAATCACATGAAATTTAAGATTCCTCATTTTATATTTCTGTTACATACCGTTTCGTATAAATTCTTTTTTAACTCTGCAAATGCATTGAAAACACCTACGTAGCCTTAATAAGGCGTTAAGCCCCGTGAGAAATATTGTGTTAAAAATGGCATGATATAATTTTTAATTACCTTTTGCATGTGTCTATTCAGTTTTAGAAGTGCGCGTGTGACTTTAAATATAATGAAATAAATGGACATAGCGTATGCAGTATAGCAGCATAGCAGTATGCAAGCTTAAAAGTCCAATAAACAATACATAAAATTGGAGCAGTGCAAACACAGACATCCAACACATCAGGGGTGGGATCAGGTGCCATGGAGGAGTGAGCATCCCCTGCCGACTGGTCACATCCGCCGTGTGCTCCTTGTCTTGATTGGGAAATAACGGAAAAATCCGTCGACAATTCAGTGTGTGAATAATGGCCTAATAATTAGTATGAAAAACGTCAGTCAGAATTTGACTTAATGATAAAATGTATTTGCTGACAAGGTCATTGTATCGACCATAGAACTTACGAAATGATGGCTTTAATCGAGACTGCTGATATTCTTGTTTCATCAACTAAATATTATTATATCATAAGCTCTAAATTTCACGTCATATAACTTACTGTGGCGTCATATTGTATCGAAACGATTTCGCCTATTCGATCTGGGTGCAGTGGGTCATCAGTTCAGTTCATGCAGGGGAAAATGGAACATCATGATCGTTTCTGGGACTCTCGGTTATACTTTGCGAAGCGAAAGAGGCTTTAAAAGGTTTGACTGGTTATCTAATGAGAGAGACGCTTCATGAGCCAAGAAGAAGAAACGATAGCCCAAACGACTGTCGTTAGTTTCTCGACATTTGCATCCTGATCAGGGTTTAGAAACTGTCTTTTCAAAGAATTAATTAAAATGGTTTAGAATTCATTTCGCATTCATTTGACGAATGGAGGTTTTACAATATAGGCACATTACCGACTAACAAAAATTTAAATGCCATGTTTAGATTTCTACTTTTTTAAATTAAAAAAAAAATGGCACAAGATTCACAATATTTTTACAAACACCACAAGTTACGTTATGGTGTCATAAGTGTTTCGACCTGTCAGAGAAGTCTAATGGTAGGGTGTTTGCTTCTTGATTGGGAGGTCTCGGGTTCCCGGCGCTGCGTCAAACCCAAAACGTCGATTGTGATTGTTCCTTCGCCAAAACCCCCGGCTCTACCCTAATAAAAAAAAATTAATGCTATAGTTAACTATAGTGTACTATAGTAAACTATAATATCCAAATTTTTACTATATAGGAAATAAAAAAAATTACCATAGTAAATGAAATGATTTTATAGTATAAGCGATTACAGAGTGTGATATTTTGAGTTTCCAATTAATACATGCATGTTTTTTATAGCTATGTAAATATTCTTTGTCGAATGTCTCATTGACGAATGAGAAATGTTTGAAAGTCAAGTTTTACAGTAAATCAAAATTTTGAAGTATTTACTATAGTGAACTACAGTGAATTATTGTTAACTATTGTACCTTTTTGTTAAGATAGATGTGAAAATCACTGGTTTTACGGATGAGATAATATAAACAGAGGTACCTTTTCCCTGAGTTCCGAGTATAGGTCTAAATTTGATGCTCTTCTCCGGTTAATGGTCACGTTTTATCCTTATAACTTTTAAGATATGTTATTAAAACCTTCTTCGTAGTATTAAGAAAATGTTGTTTATGATGCATGCCAATTTTATACCTAATAAGGTAAGTAAAGAAAATAAATGATTGAAAAAGCTGTCGAAAAGAGGAGTTGACACAATTTATCCAAATAAGAGTTATCTCTCCTTTTCAAAAAGGAAAGATTTGTAAATTTGCAAAAAAGCCCAAAACAGTTAAAACAGCGGAGAAACATTTCCTTTTGAGCTATAACAAACCATGTCTAATGAATTTTAGATTAAAAAGAAACTTGTCATTGATTTGAGTTTCCTTTAGCAATAAGGGAATATAAATTTGAGATTAAATCTGTACCATATTTAGAACATTGCAAAACATAATCTTTACAAATGCTTCAACATACGTTGTCATTTCAAAAATCGACCCACTGTTCGAATCCTTAAATACAATATCCATCATCATTTACGAAAATATTGATATTTCCCAATTCTAAAGGCTGGGTATGAAATTTAAATTACACTTGTTATTCAATGAACCATTTATTACAATTTTATAAACCCACTGATATTTCACTTTATGAGATTACTTCATTATTAATTCTTTTTTTTATCTCTAAAATACTGGGAACATCAGTATTGTCTCCCAAATAGCAATTCTAATATACATATACATTATTACGGAGACCTTACATAAAATGTAATGACTCTTCAGAAGTTTGTTATTGTCCCCCGCTTTTACTGAAAGTAGGGGATAATAATTTGGGTCTGTCTGTCCGTCCGTCCGTCCGTCTGTCTTTCTGTCTGTCTGTGACACTTTCGTTTACGCGTGATATCTCTAGAAGTCTTTCAGCTTTTGCATTGAAATTTTGCATAACAACTCCCTTTGGTCTTAGGAAGACCTACATTTTTGTAGATCAAAAGGTCGAACGTTAAGGTTGTAAATTGATGCATTCTGTCTGTGTGAAAAAGTTTCATTTCCGGGCGATATCTTAAGAGGTTTTTGAGCTCTCACAATGAAAATTTATACCATACCTCCCTATGGCCCTGCCTACTCCTCTTACAGATGAGTGTCCCCTCCTTGACCCCCCTTCTGGATCTGCGCATGCTCTTCTTTTTTCCTTAAGCGGGGAACACAGATTCTCTGAATAAGCTTGTTATTTCAGCAGCATTTAGTTTCAAAATTACGTAAACTTGGTATATTAAAGAAGAAAAAAAATATATATATTTTTTTTAAAACTTTAAGACATGAAATAAACAAAATTAAAAACTGGTATATATGTTTTTAAGATGAAACAAAACAACTGCTAATAAAAAGATTGAAGATTTTTTTTTATAAAAATAGAAAGAAAAAATGTACTCAAATGTGATTCGTAGGCGCTTATAAATTGTAATAAATAAACAAAGACAAATTTTAAATACTATAATGCGTAAATCGGGGCCGTTCTTATACCAATAGGGAGTTCGAATGTGATGGGGCCTATGTGCCAGCGGATGCAAAGAGGATAGGTGAGGTGAGTTAAGGATGTACATATAACTCATACATTGATAATTAAAGCATGAAAGAGAAATGGCAATGGACAAGGGGTAAATTCCTAAGGAAAATGTAGGGGCTACAATACATCTAATTTACAGATAGACTAGATAATAATTTGAATCATTTTACCGATAAATGAACAGTATGTGATTTTAATATGTCAAGAATAGAGTGTTTCTACTTCAAATCTATAAGCTACCTAGCTTATAAGCTTATTTTTAAAGCAGGAATTACAATTATAACTTTTACGTGTTTGGTAGCAGAGATTATCTAAATTAATATTCCATTTCGAGTTAAAGTTTCGTGTGACGTCACAGTTGTTTTTCCTTACTCGGAAAATGTAAACTGCATGAATCGTTTTTACCACTCTTATGTCTTGTTCAACTGTGTCCTGTATGATAATGAGGAAAGCTTCACCTTACGATATTGCTACAATTAATTACTACGAAGAAGGACTTCAGTTCAATCGTAAGTTTAAAAATATTTATTGACAGAATTTTTTTTCCAAATGAGTTTTTGTCTTTGAAGCTGTCTTAAAAATGCGTAATTTATCCACTCCATATACATTGTGAAACATGAAAAATGCCTCAAGAATTTTGAATCACTATTTATATTCTGAATATTTGAAGAGCTGCATGTCCTTATATATATTCTTTTGTTCGTGCCTAAAAATTCTCATTATAGGCTCAATAATGGACCCGTAGACACGAAGAACCAGAACTTTATGCATACACTGTACGGAGCGATATTTGTATGGTTATATCTCTTAAATAAGTGAGGAAATCTGATGACAGAATCGCTTTAAGATATGTGGGGCATCGAATTAAGAATATACAAAATATGAAAAAAAATATTTACTAGATTTTTCCAGCTCAAGGTCCTTTTCCTCCTTAAGAAAGTAAAATTCAGATAAAAGGGAAAATTTCGAGTAGAGACAATCCTTAAATTGTGTAATGAAATAAATTATATTCAAAATGCATGTACTCCTAAATATTCTAGTATACTTGTAACATACAATTGAATATATATATGTGTATTTGAAAGAAAAGGATCCTGGTGTTTAAACATTATTTTACAAAAAAAAAAAAAAAACGCTTATTACAAATTACTATTGACTGGCGATTTTACTTTGTTATTAAACATACAAGTTTAAAACATCCAAAAATACCCAATATTTCAGGTTATGTTCAAATATTTTGAATAAAGCACAAACTCCAATGACAAAATTCAGTAATTATGGAAAGAATTGTAATAAAATTGTATTTTACATATTTTTTTTTACCATGGACCGTGTCCATATAAACAATCTCTGTTGAATGAAGCAAACACACAATTTTCTGTAAACTTTAACAACACAGCACATTAATCTACAGAGCCCTATCTCCCACATATGGACATTGAGAAGGATTTTTAAAATATAAAATGAAAGCACGACGCATATTCTCTTTTTTTTACTGTTCGAAATGATGCATACGGTACACACTGAGTAATATCTAAAACGAGCCATTTTATACAAAAAGGGAACATAGCTCTTACACTTTTTTTATGAGAAATATTGTTTTTTTAGTTCTGATAAAGATAACTAGATTTTCAATGCAGAAGATATTTAACTGATGTGGAAAACTCTAGCGACTTGCAGCTTCCTGATCAAAAATGTCCCAGTGCTAGTGACTTCTAGTTGGTGATGCTCTTGCACGTGACCCAAAATAACCCCTCGCCCAGCAGGAGTCGTTGTTTGATTGTCGTGAGTTGAAGCCCCATATGGGG